CTCCACTCACTCCACTCACTCCACTCACTCCACTCACTCCACTCACTTCACTCACTCACTCACTCCCTCCCTCCACTCACTCACTCACTCCACTCACTCACTCACTCCACTCACTCACTCCACTTTGCATCCTGCTAGCACTGCCCGCCGTGGTGGGGATAAGACCACTTGATAGCTTTGATGGTGGTTTCGAGTGTGTTACGTTTTGAAGGTCTCATGCGGATCTGATCGCAAAATCCAGAGCCTCCAAACTTCTCTCTCCGCCTCCTTCTCTCTCTCTCTCTCTCTCTCTCTCTCTCGTCCCTCTCATCCTTGTTCATCACATCATCAGACACTTTATCACACACCCACACACACACACACACGCACGCCATCTTACCACACACACACACACACACACCTCCTCCCTCCCCTCCTTCTCATCCTCGTCCACCACATCATCATACTACACGTCTTAGCACAACCGCCTCATATACCTTCTCTCCTCACACTTCGTTCTTGACTTTTCATCTCACTACTCCGTCTCCCATGTGATGTTCATATACATTTGAAATTTGTAAAACTTATCATGTGGGGTTATCCGGTCCTTTTATTATATATTCAAAATTTTCACTTGAGAGGAGGGAGACACGAAAGGTAGGACAGCGGGAAGAAAAGAGAACGCGAGAGGCAGGAACAAAAATGCAATATTCGACATGGTGATTTATCCCCTCGGAGGCGACCTTTCGTAAATATATGTTCATATGCATTCTAAATGTTCAAACATATGCTCTCGAAATGTTCAAAAAGATTCTTAGGAAAATAAATTTGCCCCATGGCTCAGATCATCGGTAAATATTGAATCGGAATATCATAAGATTTAAATTATCTTAAAACCATAAGAGGCTCACGAAAACGCTCCCCAAGAGAGAATTAACGTGCTTCACAAAACAAACTCTAAGTATATATCCCCTCGGAAAACACCTTTCGTGATTAGAATTTCATATTCACTCTTTCTAAATGTTCAAGAGGATTTCAACTATCCTAAAATTATAAAAGGCGCACGAAGACGTTCTCCAGGAAAGAATTAGTTTTAAAGGGGGGGAGGGGGGGGGGGGGAAAATCTGCATTAAAAAATCAATTCGAGAGGGGAAGAGAAAAAGGAGGGGGTGTTTCAATTAAGCGATCAATTATTAGACGAACGTTCCAACACTTGCTTCGCAAGACAAATTCAAGGTATCCCCTAAAGGGCTACCTTTCGTAATATAGTTTATCTAAATATATATATATAATCTATAATATATCCCTTTCATATATATATATATCTCTTTATATATTTAAAAATAAACTAATATATCTGATATCTATTTCCTTATAATATTATATATATATTTTATATTATATTTATTTGATTTATATTTTTTAACTAAAATATCACGTCATCGGCGATATTATCCCTTAAGAATGATATGGAAATGGGAGAAATTATAGAATTATATTTCCTTCAAATGGATATATATGTATCAATCAAGAATTTCAAGTTCATCCAAGGATTATGCCAACTAGATTCAATATGATTCAATATTTCAATATCCTCAGGCTCAGACCCTCCAAGGAGGCGCTTCGAATGCTTGTGCCTTCCACTTCGCGGCGGCACCTGGGTCGCCCAATCCGCTGTCGGGACAATCCAAGGGTGTGGTGAAGAAATCCTTCCTTCCTTCCTGCCTGCCTGCCTTCCTTCTTTCCTTGCATCGGCTTTCTTCCAAGCATTGGTTTCCTTCTGAGCATCGGCTTCCTTTGGGCCCCTTTGTCTGACGTACTCCAATGACACCCGAAATCATAAAAGGCTGCTGGAGCCCACAGTTCATTCCAGCCAACAGCCATACTGAATCATCCCATCAAAAATCCATCAAGCAACTCCAATCCGCTCTCTCATCCGTTCTCCACACCTACTCGCCCAAATGCACCCCATCCGGACATCGCGCGTTGGGAGTGGTCGGAGAACGGCAGCTTGCCTCGTGCCAGCTCCTAAAAAGCCCCTGAGCTTCCAGCTGATGTGCGGCTTCTCCGGCAAGATCTTCCTGCAGATCCGAGACCGGCGCGTCCGATTCTCCGTCACCCTGCCTAGTGCGGGAAAGCCTTGGCTTCGACTCAAGGGACGTGACATGACGTAGAGACAACACAATTCCAGATGGAGCATCCGTGCGAACACCATCTGCACCGTTTCACGAGACAACACAACGCGAGTTCATTTCGTAGATGTTGCACACCAATTCCATTTGCTTTGGATGCTCATGACGCAGTCAAAGCAGAACAGCAAACCAGCCTCTGAGGCCACACGCGCTTCGAACGAAGCAGTCCAGCCTGCGGGTGCGTGGGACCAAGTGTCTCTGAATCTTGAGGTCATTTACTTACATGTTGATGTCCTGCGTCGAAAAAAGTAATCCCAAAAACCACGCTGCGCAATCCCAGCTGCGGTGACTGGGACCTGGCATCAGGAACCCCTCCCCCCAAAAGATGATTCAAGGACGTCATGTTCACCGAAAGTGAAGTGCTTCATGTTCAGTCAAATTGAACACATTGATATTAGCTAACCATCTTTTTTTACACTAGCTTTGACCTAATGCTTCTAGATTGAATGTTCTCGGTGTTGTAACTGTTCGGTCTGCTTTAGTTTCCTTCCCATGCGTTGTTCATGAATTCTCTGCACCTCTTGCACTTTCGCATTGATAAAGTATTCTGCCAGCCACCCAATTCAAAAATGGCTGCGTCTCAAAGAGATGATAACCAGCGCATTGATTGTCACAGAAATTTGTTGTTCACTTCCTTGGGTGGACTCATGGTATATGTTGCCACTCATTGTCTTATTGTATCACATGTTAGCTAAACATATCAGAGAAATTGAAATATTCCTCAGAAACGTCGCTCTAGTCAATCACAGTCAGTTGGAAAACCTCCTCAAACAAATCAGTCTAAATCTCCAAACATCCCTTTGTGGGACTTCCACCATGGAGTCCCCCCCCCCACCGTCCTCCCTGGCCTCGGTGAGGGCCTTGCTGAGTCCAGGCTTGGCAGCCCGATGGATGCGCTCAGCCCTGCCGTCGGTGGCGCGCAGCGAACGGCGCGGGCGAGGCGAAGAAGATGCTCCGTGCTTTGGGTTTCGGGGAAACGACCGCGTCTGCCTTCGGAAAGGAGATCGAACTGGAAGAGGCGCCTCAAGAGTATGAGATATGATGTTTGCTATGTCTTAGTCGTGGTTGTCGCTTTGCGTAACGATCCTTTTCAGGAGAACTTGAATTCGATCTTCGCGGCTGAGCTAACTTCAAATAAAGCTGCGTGGTCAATCCGAGGGACAGGGCTAGCGGCATCTTGTCTTGCTTTGCATCCATGCTCTCTGTTTGGCAAACCGAGCTCAGCGAGCTTGATCCTCTGGGTGTGGGAGCCCAACCGAGCAGCTCAGCCAGTGTACCCTCCCTCTCTCTGCACGGTGCACGGCTTGCTCTCCAGCCGAGGTGAGGAAGTGAGTCTAGCAATTTTCTTGGGCCCGACAGCCAGAGAGAGAGAGAGAAGGCGGCCTGAAGAATTCTCGTTTAAACATGTTCACACACTGTTACTGTTACTGTACAAACATGTACTAACCATCCGAATCCTAAGAACTTCACATCAAAGCTGCAACATTAGAAGCGGAACCGACTCATACACAACCCTTCTAGTATAGTAAAGCCACATCACCGGCGTGTTTTGTGTCGTTTTTGGGCCACCTGTCACGCAGGTCCATCTCGCGGATCAGCTCAAAACAGATCTGATCCTGGACGGACAGGGGGGGCAAGTTGTAGTGAGTTTCATGCAGACATGCTTGGCACCACAGGGCAGTGGTCTTTGTGGAAAAATGCCCCAAACAAGATTGGCCAGGAGGAAAATGGTCTGCAGGGGAAGGAGAGCCCAAAGTACATCGAAAAAAGTAGACGCTACAAGTTCCTGCTAGAGCTCTTGCCTTTTTGCGCCAAAGCCAGTGAAGTTTCCGCCAAAAATATGTATCTATATAAACGGTGCTGCTGATCCATATTTAGAAAAGGGCTTCAAGAGAAGACACACCTGTTCTTTATCCTGATTTAGCACGGGCAAATGAGCTGTATGTCAAACGGTCACGAAATAGGCCTTTCAGACATGGCCAAGTTTGGTGTCGAAACATCAAAACCGCAGGCGTTCAGCAATGTCGGACTGTGAATCAGTCCAGCCCGTAGGTCTTCATGACTGCAACGTCGAGTCTAGTAGACCGGAGAGTCTCTCAAGTAAGTTTCTGTGCAACCTGTCATCCAAATGCTCCACCATCGTCCTCCTTGTTGGGGTGGATGAACGTCCCTAGTTCAGAACTCTACATCGCCAGCACTGCCCACCGCCACGCCCACCGTGATGCTTGGGCTCGAGAACAGGGAGCGCCTGGCCGGGCGACGTTTGGAATGGCTGAAAATGGTGGCCAACGCCATGTCCGAATCACGGGTATGTTCCAAAGCACCCTGACCAACGACCCTTTGGGTACACCGATGCTGGGAGGGAATCTGTAAGGGGACGGGGTCCCCCTGGCAGATTTGCCGTTTCAGTGTTGAGAGTTGTCGCAGCTGTAGAAACCATGGCAGTGAGAAAGTTCTCCAAACCAAACATGTTCAAACACTACGTCACTTTCCAATACAAGGGTGATAGGTGGTAAATAACAAGTGATAAAGTTAGCCACCTTCCGCCACCAACAGGATGTTAAAACCAGGATTTTTGCAGCAGCCAGCCTGGCCGTCTCGTGCTCCTGGCAGCATTCGATCACAATTCGTTCCAGCTCCTACTGGGTCATTGAAAACAGACCCAGAAGCCATACAGGCTTCACATGCTTCACTGCTTCGCCATGTCAGTGTATCTCAGAGCCAACAAAGAAAGGCCCCCTCACTCGCCCCAATGACGCGAGCCATTCCGATTCCGTGAGCTTGCTGTGCCTTGCCCATCTCTTCAGATTGTGGCCGACCTCATCGAAGCTCCGGATCGTGCGTCGCGCGGCCGCCGGGCCCCCAGAAATGGCGTCGAAGCAGCGAGAGAGCTACATAGCTACGACTCCAAGATCCAATACTCCCTGTCCTTTCAGCGACTTCCTTGTGCCGATGGGCTCCGCCAGTTGTGCTCCAAAATTGGCTCCACCACAAAATCCCATCTCCGTGCAGATCTTCTACCCCCCGGGTGAGCTGCGTCGTTCCACGCGAACGCAGGTTTCTCGTCTTCGAGATGTTCTTCCCCCGGGCGGCGGGCGGGGAGTCTAGTTGATACTAGTAGGGAAGGATTCCCCCATCTTAAAACGGATTTGACTGTTACTGGATGTTACTAGTACTTCTCATGACTTGTGATTGCAGTACATCACTTCTGGATGAGGTCCTGGGCTAGGGGAAAGAGGGAACAATCCCAATCTTGGCCCGAGCTTCCCCGGCTGGGGAAGGGTCCCTTCCGACGTCGCTCTGCCTCTTCTTCCTCAGCCGAACGACGAGGGATGTCAACCGTAGGCCAAGGAGGGTGGCAACAGCCGTCTCTCATGCACACTTGTACATAGTAGCGCTGATGCTCTTTCACTGGCAGTCAATTCTTAGCACTTTCCCAGGGGGAGTGGTGAATGAACCTGCCAAGTGGCAACTGCCAATCTTCGCGTCTCAAACAAACGTTTTTCCCAATTGGGAATCATGGCGGTGCTTCTGAGAAGCGCGGTTTGTTCGAGCGCCAACGATCACTTTTCCCTAGATCCTTTGACCTGAACTGTCCCAACAAAAGAATGAAGGAAGTGCTCCTGTTCAGGGTAGGTCCTGGTAGGTCAACACCTTCGAAATCCTACTGTTCTGATTGAAACGAAAAAGAACGCATCTCCGATTTGACACGCTTGGCATCGGGGCCTCTTGGAGCCAAAAGGCTGTGTTGGACACGGCTCGACACGACCAAAAAACGGGGATGGGGATGGGCGGAGTGATATGAAATGAAACGATGTCAAGGAAACCAGAATCGAGACATCCCAGCACGAGGTCTCGAGCACCACCCGGATGGGTGCTTGATGGAATTACAGCAAAAATGTGACAAAGGAGTCAAAGGAGTCGAAGAGATCACTGTCTTCGTTGACTCCCCCATCCGGGACGGGGAATGATTCCCGTGGATGGACGGCCGGAAGCAACCAGGTCAGTGATCCCATCACAAGTTACGTCCACGTCTTTGTTGGTTTTCCCACAGCCTGAACATGTGATAAATGCTAGTCCAAAAGAAGCTATTAGAAACAAGTGCACCGCTACTAGTAACAAGTGCCTTACTAGAAGTAACAAGAAGCTAGTAAGGAAACCCTTTTGAAGCGAAGCTTTTTGAAACTGGAGTACCAGTCTATCTGAGCACACACTTTTCAGCTGAATGTCACTGTGGCTGTTGGTGAATTCCGGGCATGTCTGCCTTCAAAGAGCTACAGTATGAACCTGACTGAAGTGCACTGTCAGTGATCTCCAGCATAACTTTTCGCACATGTCTTCGTGCCATTCTGGCCGGGAAAAAAGACTGTGTCAGCCAAGCAAGTGAGCAAGCACAAGCGAGCAAGCAAGCACGGCTTCCCTCAAATTGAAGGTATTCTCCTGGCTTCTGAAGTTCTGGGATCTACGCCTGCACCAAAAATAATACGTGCAGCAAGAAGCTACTAGTAAAAAGGGCATCGCTACTAGTAACAAGAGCATCGCTATTAGTAGCAAGGCGCTACTAGTCTTAAGTGATCTTTCATGAAGGCCAAGCTTTGTCAAAACCAACACTTGCTACACGCCTTGACATGGCATCTCCGCAACTGGCGTGGAAGCCTGGAAAAGAACAGTGCAATCAATGGGGTTTTGGTCTATGTAGAGTTTATGTTCCTTCTTCAAGCTTCAAGGAGATCTTTGAGCCAGTTCAATATGTTCAATACACAGCCAGATGCCTCAAGTGCAGCTGTGGCACAACAGTTGAGCCTGGCCACTGCTGCAATTGCTCCATGAGATCCTTCACGACCTCCGCCTGAAAAAGGCAGCCGCTCGGCCGAGAACAGCCGGTGGATGGCAGTCGACACATGAACACAAAGCTGGGCCGCCTGTGAGGCGTCCGGCATGGACTTTGCATGCAAGAGGTGTGCTCGGGGCCAGGCTTGTGGCTGTATCTTTGGCCTTGTGTCCACTGAAAAGTGCAGTGGCTGAGCGAGCTCGGGTCCTGTCGGCTGGTTCCAGAGCTGCAGTCGCTGATGCAAGGGTGGATGTTGCAAGCCCTGATGCGGCGCAGACGAGCCTTGTGCTGGTTGTCTTGCCTCCGGAGAGTGTGGAGACATCCCTGGTCGAGGTCCAACATCCGGTGAGTGTGTGTCTGTGGTGTGCATTGACGGCGCTTGGAGGTGTGGAAATCGCACTTTTGGCGATGGCATGTTGGGTGACTGGACTTGCAAATGCTTTGGAAAGTGGGGATGCTGTGCCTGTCGCAGCAGCCTCTGCAAGACATCGGCAGATCGAAGCTCCAGCAGTTTGGGCTGCATCAAAGGGACCGGGGAACAGGCTCCAGAATCCCGCTCCTCATCATCAACTACAACAGTTTTGGACTTGTCTTCGGGCACATGGCTGGAGTCTGACTGGCGACTTCTCTCCGAATCAGCACATTCCTGACAGGTTTTCAAGAATCCTTTTCAGATCTTTTTAGAGACATGGAAATGAACACACATTGGTCCGTTATGAGCACTATATAAGCCTACTAAGCAATATGAAAACCGAAATCGACCTGTTCAAACTTCGTCACTTAAAGAATATCCCGGTGATCCTGCGACACGGCGCTGTCCAGCCGCGTGGTCGCCGTGAGATCCCGCAGCATGTCCGTGGCCTCGGCGAGTCGACAGGACGTTGTGCCCGGCCCATGGATTTTCCAAGTTGAGGTTTAAAAGCTATACCAGCATAGACCCCAAACAGTTTCAAAACGATTCGTTTGAACCAATGTTAGGCGTTAGGATAGAACCTGAGCAATAAAATGTTTGGGGAAAATTCTGTATGGAACTAACATAGAAGTGAAGAAACCTCTTGTAAGACCAGGAAACATTCTGTCTCCGAGTCTCCAAAAAAAATATTGATTGTGGAATGCTGCTGAATGAGATTGGAGAAAATGTGCTTTCTTGGTCGTGTGATGCTGCGCTGCTTTGCGGTGTGTCTTCTGGTTACGGAGTGTCCGCTGCAGAGGCCCGCGGTCAAACGGTTAAATACAGGGGCACCGGGGGTAATGTTCAAAGGGTAAAGCACGGTAAAACGATAAAATGGTAAAGTCCCGATGTGACAGAAGCGAGGAGTAAAACGGAAAAACGGCAAATGTGCAAAATCTATAGCGGCTAAGCGATTTTCCGAAGGTCAGTCAAACTCATGGAGTGAGAACAAAATGAGAAAAGTCTCATATAAAGAAAAACAATGCGAGCCAATCTTGATTCGTCCACCGTAGAGCCAAAGCTGTTCGAAACAAGAGTCTATCTGTCTTGAGTTAAGACCTAAAAATCCGCATCTTCTCTTCAAGAAGGTGCACAGACTTCGTCAAGTTGTTGGCTTGACAATGCGCAGGCCCTGAATCCGAGTCGAGCAAAGCTGAAAACACATGGATTGAGTGATGCACAGATGCATTTTGGTGCTCTGTTACTTTTATTGCGAATCCACGTGCGCAAGTGAAACTAACAAATGTGGGCCGGCGGGTCTTGTTCTGTTTCCTTGCTTGTGGTGTTTTGCACACAGGCTTGATGACATAGGAAATGTACATGCGCATGCTGCTCTGTTGTGTTTGCTGGCTGTTTTCTACCTTTGCTGTTTTTGATGCACTCTAGGACACCACCGCGCGGGGTCAAATGGTAGAAACCGCAAATTGACCGATCATTTATATACCGATTTACTAATGTTTTCATGCTTTGGCGATGGATGGAATTTCCGATGTGCAGAGTGAAGTCTATCAATGCTTCGAATTGACCAAATTTACCGAATTGCCCTGACATGTGATGCCCCTTTAGGCTGAACAGAAGCGCGGGGAGCCGGACTAGTGACCTACATCTTCTGCGGCACGGCGAAATCGGCGAACTCAACGTCCCAGCCTCTAAGAAGGACGGGCGGCGATCGGCGTCGTCATGGATACAAAGCCTCAGACCGACGTGACGTGACACCGACTGGAGCGAGACTTCGAAGCGACAGACCGACTTCGGTCGGCGATTTCGCCTCATCAAACTCAGTCTTTCGCTTCTTTCATCAAACTCTGGAGGCCATTGCGAGTAGGTTGGAGGCCATTGCTAGTAGGTTGGAG